TATGCTAGTCCCGCCTGGGAGTTTGCGGCAGACACTCATCTAGTGAAATTGCAGCGCCTGCAAAACAAGGTTCTCCGCACGATTGGCAATTTTCCAAGGCGCACACCGGTCCGCGATTTGCACATGGCATTCAAAATCCCATACGTATATGACTTTATAACAAAATTATGCAGGCAACAAGCAGAAGTCATACAAAATCATGATAATGAGAATGTTCGCAACATCGGACAAGGCGAAGCCCGGCACAGAAAGTATAAGAGGCTTAAAATTGGCGGCGGTCAGGCATACGACCGTTCAAATGACTAGACTGCCGTGGTAGCTAATACTACTAGGAAATATATATATACATATATAAAGAGCATAATCTGCTGTACCTAGCCTGGACTGACAGAGGCTGTGTATATATTGTACATAGAAGTAAGGATTAAGTGTGTATTTGTAAATGTATGTAAATACAGACAATAGACTTAATACAGACTGACTGACAGATGACAGACCCGACCTCTCGTCAGAGAGGGCGCTACACATGGACAGGACGGTAACTTTCATTGAAAAGAAATATCTGGTCATGAGCCCCAGCTGGGGCTCGACACCAAGACCGACAGACTGACTGACCGTCAGTTGCAACGTGACTCTGACTCTGACTCTGATACCGCAGGGCCAACACATTAGTGTTTTGATGTGACATATGGTTCGGATCCCAGCTTCTTACTCGCAGTATTGTACTTATGGTACAGAAAATGTATCGGAACCGACTTCTCTAGGGGTATTATAATTGTACGTGTTTTGTTCTTTAAATTTAAATGAAGTATAGTAATTCCTATGCAGTTACCTGGAACACGTTTCTGGGACACACCGTGGCTGGCAATAGCTGGCGGAACATAAATCCTTGAGGCGCTAGTTTCAATTCGGTTGCTCAATAAGTTCTCGTACATCGCCGTGGTTGATTAGCCTGTATACACAAGCAGGTCAATGGACCGTATCTTGAGCCAGTTGAATCCAGTACACATCCTTATAAGATTCATTTTATTGTTATGCACTCCGATTTCCCGAAATGATCTCTTCCATTGAGGCTTTCTGACGGAATGGACGTTCTCTCATCGCCCCTATACGTGCTACATGTTCCACCTATCTCATTTCTCTATATTTAATCACGAAATGATAATGACAAGTAATACAATTTATGAAACTTTTCATTATTTCCTCCACTTCGTCCCTTTGTGTCCAGATTATTTTCCTCGGCACATTGTTCTCAGGCACTCTCAGTTTGTGTTTATGAGAGCAAATTTGACGCCCACATACTCGTACAGCAGTACACAAACTGGACTGGTCTACAACAAGGGTATGACGTAAGTGAATGAAGACTAAAATCACTTACATCAGTTATACCGGAATCTGGAGCGTAAGTAATTCGTTCGTCCCCGAAGTAGAATTTCTGGATCCTCTGGACGACCTCGTTGACGAGTTACTTGTCATCGGGATGCTCGAGTAGCATAGCTATCACATGACTATCCTACAGTTTAACCTTCGATTCGTCTGGTCCAAGTAGCACTGTAACTCAGAGAGACAGCGGTAAATGTTGTTGCGTAGGTCACTGTTCAAGTGGAAACATATTCTGGAATAATTCAGTTCAGTTCCGTATTATTAGCGTGCTTACATGACAGTCCAAAGGTCATTCATAAAATAAGCATGCACAATGATGAACGCTAACAAGCACACACATCTAGATATTCTAAGAAAATACAAGGCAACGCAGACAATAATAGATATTCAATAAATACAACTTCGCCAGCCATTGTACAGCGAGAAAAATATGTACACATATATTCGTCCTGAGTACAATTAAGAATCAAATACGTGAAAGAGCCCGCAAAGAACATTAACAGCAAAATCTCATTTAGCACAGGGATAATCCCTACTCGAGGAGTGGACGTCGAAAAAGTTAAGTCTCTGATATGTTGAGGAGGAATTATGGTGATAATAATAGTTGATGCGGTAGCGTAGTTTGTTGAGGCACTATGCTACAAGCCGAAAGATAGCGGGTTCAAGTCCAGATGAGGTCATTGGATTTTTTTCAATTGACCTAATCCTTCCAACCGCATTATGGCTCTGGGGTAGACTCAGTCTCTAACAGAAGTGAGTACCAGGAATATTCTTGGAAAGTTCTTGGGCGTAAATGGGGCTGACAACCTTGCCGCCATCTATGAGCCGATTGTCTAGAAAATGTGGGGACCTCAACATCTCACAACCCTATGAGCCTCCATGGCATGTTACAGGGATACCTTTATGTTTTTACTTTTAATAATAAAAATAATAATAATAATAATAATAAT